TACTTAGCTTATGTGAAAGGCGATGTCTGACCATTTAGAGCTGTTGCACATTTGTATTATTATATAAATTATGTGACAAATGAAAATGCAAAACACTGTGCTAGTGGTAAAAGTTATAACTTGGAAGTCATTATTGGTGCCTTTCATGATAGCAGATAAATTCATTGGCCCTAAGAGTTCATCATAACAGTTTAAGATCTGAGAAGTTGTTAATTAATAATCTTTTGAATCGATTTCTTCCTGGTTAAAAGGGAGCCATGCCTTTTCAGTTGTCTGTTTAAAAATTTCTGCTTTGGATCGTTTTCCTAAAAAATCATTCTGATATAAGGTATCCCATCTTTCCCTGCTCAATGGCATTGAGATCAGTTCATTTTCTCTGATGTACTTTCCTACCTGGATATATTAATATCTCTAAGGGTCTGGATAAAATGTAAAATTGCTGATTTTTCACTTCTCTGGCCATCATTAGATTCAGATGCATTTAGCTGGTGTTCGATGCATACTAACTATCCGTTTATTGTGTCTAACATACTGCATCTGTTTGTATAAATTTGCTATACCTTTTACCAGGCTCTCTGCTCTCTAAACGTTGAGAAATTGGTGATTCCTGCAATTTCGGAGTTGTCAGAAACATGGACTTCGGTTTTTGGTTTCAAGCCCCTTGAAGCATCAAGCAAGCGAAAAATGAAGAACATGAATTTGTTAGTGTTTCCTCGTGTAGATATGTTGCAGAAATCACTGCTAAAAAATCCTGATGGTATTTACCAAAGGCATGCTCTTCTCTGTGAATTATATTCCTCTACATATTTGTATACATATACATATGCATATAGATATAGATATATTCAATTATATACACAGACATAGAATTGGTTTTTGTATATATGCGCGCATACACAAATTTATTTGAGGTTTAACCATGTACATGTTTGTAGGCTCCTGGAACAGTGAACTGAAGGAGGATCAGAACATGAGTAAGGTGGCAGCTAGTTCCGATCAGAGATGTTCTTTAGGCTTCGATTTAAATGTACCTGGTGAGAGTGATGCTTGCTCACAGAAGAGCAATGCTGGAAGTTCTGCTGCAGAGTCCTGTTTGCAGCCTCTTGATTGCCCCTGCAATGGGTCATCAAATGTAGCAGAGGAAACTGTCAACGACCCTGAATCTGATAAGGATATAAAATGTCTTGCTCAAATATGTGCAGCTTGTGAAATGCCAGATGGAATAGATAAAAGCATTCTGAGTCCTGGAGATCAGGTGTGTAATACCCATGAACAGAGTGAAACTACTGATGAATCCTATGGTGCTGTTTCTGTTCCCATGGTGAATGAAAGAAATGGCAAAAGTCTCTCCGACGACGACAATCCAGCGCCCTTTTCTGATAAAATCAACCTGGATCGACCTCAGGAACTGAGTTTGAAAGCTTCTGGTGAGAATACTGTTATCCGTGATTGTGGTTCAGAGGCTACTGATTTTATAGCTTCTGTTAACCAAAATTGCCATTCCTCTTGTGGGCCATCTGGTGATACTGGCACAGGGCCAGGTTTCTCACCTTGCACCGACAATGGAATCTGCACATCCGCAGTGGTTAAGTCATGTCTTGAGATTGCCGTGGATAATGTCTGTGTCCCAAAAGTAGAATTAAGTAAAGATGCAATCTCTGATGATCCTAAGAGGAATACAAATCTTCAAGCGACTTCGGATCTCACTGTCAGGATGGTTGTACAAATGTCATGCAGAATTCTGGGAGCAATTCGAGCTCCGTATCAGGCGTGGCCCTTCATTGTGCATCCGGTGGGGGCTAACTCATGGCGGTACCGAGGTGATAATTGTCTAACCAAAGCTTTTTGTTAACTTTCCTTTCGGGTCTTTTTGGATTGATACATCAGTTTATCCGACGACAGCCGTGATTTACATTCTTCGGATGCCTAATTTTGTGTGGTGACTAAATGCTAAAGTAGAATTGTGGAAGAGTTGTTCGTATTGCATCAAGCTCTTCTCTCTCATTCATTATATACTGAAACTTCTGCAGCCAAGTTTTGGAGAACTTCGTAACTAAACAAATATTTTGTTTTAAGTTGTCAGGTTTAGAGTGGCATCGAGGGTTTGTGTATTTTGAACCTCATCCTTTGGCGCATTGTAAATGGAAACGGTAATTGCGTAAAGAAGAAAATAGTTGTGTTCGAAAGCACAAATTTAGTTGACAATGATCTTTTGTTGCACTTCTGACATTGTGTATTTATGACTGATACATGCCAGTTTGACACTTACAGGGTAAGTTGGTTTACTACGCCCGAATCCTAAATGGGTAAGTCAGTTTTACCGATGGGTATTATAAATTATGACTTTAGAAGAAGCTGGGCATCTTGGATTTGAGGCCGGTGAGCCCAAATGCATTATCTTCTCAACACCATGGACAGGGAAGGAAAGGTGGGTATGAATCTCAAGAAGAAAAGTCTGCTTTTTTGCTTTCCATCTCCCATCCATTAATGTTCTTTAAAGCCCAATTTATTCACCCATTTATTACGAATTTAAGAAACCCAACTGGTAATCAGATTAGCCATGAGGGTTGTTCGATTTTTAAATGGGTATTCATTCAAGACACTGTGTCAGTTCCTATTTTAACAGTCGGATCCAATTTTCCAAACTCTTTTAAGAACCGGCTTAAATATGCTACCTTTCTCTTTTCTTCTTCCTACATGTATAAATATACCCTATTCAGATATATATATATATATATATAATTAATCACAATAAGTAGGATTAATGTACTTGATAATTGTCTAGCTAATTAGGGATCTCTCCGTCCCGGTCCACTCTGGTATGCGTATAATCTCCTGGTGGTCATATGGTGATGAACCATCAAGTTGATATATATATATATATATATATATATATAAATCATAACTGGCCAATTAAAAAATGACCCACAATCAGTTTCCATCTATAAACACATCTTCATATATATTCCCACATCCCAAAAATAAAACAAAGGACAAAATCAAGATTCCCCTGGACCAGTTTGCCATTGCCATTGCTCTTGCTCAATAAAAAAAGAAAGGAAAGAAAGAAAGAAAAATTCAAAACTGATTCCAGTTTGCAGTGATTTTGATCTATAAAAACAAAGAGAAATTGTCTGCGTGCGGTCAAAAATACGATTCTTTTCCTATTAATTTAGACACACCAGACATTGACTGCCACTGTCACTAAGTTTTGGCTTCATATTGACCTATATATATATATATATGCTATACATGTATAGATATTGTTGTACGATTGCCTTTTTTTTTTTTTTTAGGGTAAAGG